AAAAAAAAAAAATATATTGCCTGGTTATAAATGCCTATTGTAGGGAAAAGTAAAAGCAAAGATAGAAGTTGAGATTATTTTTTAATTGTGTGTGATACTGAAATATCCCTTTCTATATTCACTCATTGTTTTTGGCCTTTTGCATCTCACAGACTGTTTCCCACATATCAGGTGTTCAAATATTTGAGGAAAAATTCCTTTCTCCTATAAATAGTCTCTTAAGTAACCTCAGTTTTAATAATTATTGGTTATATGATGACGTTCCTTAATTTTTCACCATTATTGGTAATTTTTCTGGTTGAACTTTAATCTGCGTATCCCTCTTAAAACACATAGTGTATGTTTGTAACATTAAAAGACTGTAGTTTCATGAGATAAAATGGCTTGTGCCACCCCCGCCCCCCACTTTATCCTTTATGACATTGCTTTTTGGTTCTTCTCCTTCTAAATTACTTTTGAGCTGTCTAGGGTAAATATAAAGCTGTGATTGATTGTTGGCCTATTTATCCATTTGTTGCAAACTTACATGATAGCTGTACAGTTCTGAACTAAATTATTGCTCTAGAAACTATATCAGCTCATTAATTTTTCTTTTTAAAATATTGTTTTTAATGTTAGGGTTTATTTACTTGCAACTTTTTTCTTGCTGCTTCTTTTTGATTTTCTTTATTTTTAATTTATTTTATTTTATATTGCAGACAAACAGAAACTTCCTCCTTTCATCTTTCCATTCTCTGATTTATGATAAATTTAGTTTCCTTTGGCCTGGCATTTGCTTCAGCAGGCAGCCTTCCTTCAAGTACCTCCCCGATTGATGTATAATCTTTGATATCTTCCATTAGCCTCCAGGATCACTAAGTTCAAGGCCCCCTTGGAACCTAAGGAGCCCTGCCGAGGAGCTGAAGGCCTTCAGAGTCCTTGGGGTGATTGACAAGGTAATTCTTCAGTGTCTCTTCAAGAGTTCAGTCATAAATCGACTGCATGCTGACATTCTGTCTTTGAAGCTTTGGATCTTAAGGATATGAAACAAAAGGAGAAAATGACTAAAATGCACCTACACTTTAAAATAACAAAAGCGGAAGAGGAAAAAGCTTTTATCTAAGCAATTCATGTAAGGTCATGCAAAATATATTCGAGCTAAAGGAGAAGGCGCATATTTGTTGGCAGTCAGTGGAGTAAGAGGTTTGGCTTTATGGAAGTGTTAACAGTAGGGTAAAGACACACTTTATTTTGGTTAAACTTTTGAGTCAGTGGTTGTTCAGCTTTAACCGATACAGTCATTCTAATGGTCAAAAAGAAAAAATGGCATTCGTAATAGCTACATTTATTGAGTACCTACTATGTGTCACACTTGATATTCAGCATTTTATAGAAAATGACTTACTTAATCCTTCTTACATTTCTTATTATTTGTATCTCAGTGGGAAAGTGGTGCTTAGAATAAGTGAAATAGCTTGCCTAGAAGTCACACAGCTAATTTAGGGTAGTGCTGGGGATTTAGACATCAATCTTTGTGACTCCAGAAGCTATGCTTTTTACATACACTGATAGCACCTACACCCACACAACACACACACACACACACACACACACACTTTTATATTTGGAATACAGACGCTGAGCTCACAGAGATAACTCCCATTGAGTACCTGCAAATTTGGTGATACCTCATATATGCTAGGTATTGACAGTATTTGGTCTGTCAGGCAGCTCACAAATGTAATTTTAAGACCATAGGCAATAAATCCATGCTTTAAATATATTTACTCAGCCACCACTTTATCATTTAAAGCAAAAGCAATTAATGTAGGCCTTTTTCACCATTAAACATCTTTAATGAAGCAACTTAATATTAGTTGAGTACTTCTTGTGTTGTAAAGAATACGTGTGATTCCATGCTAAAATTGAACAATATGCAATCTATTTCTAGCAATTTAGACAGTAGCTAATAGTTTCAGGCATTCCAAAGGGAACATTAAGTTGAATGTTATGTGAAACTGACAGTGTCTTATTAAATCTTTACAAGCATCATTTTTCTCACATTTATATGACTGAAGTTTGAACATAAAGTAATCTAGACAGTGTGAGTTATCTTTTTTAAAAGCCTAAAATATTCCCATAACTGTGTTTGCTCTGGCTTTTCCAAATTGGGGAACATTCTGTTTGACAGCAGATGGAAACAAAATAGTAATAGAGGCTGGATGCGGTGGCTCACACCTGTATCCAAGCACTCTGGGAGACTGGGGCAGGAGGAGTTTGAGACCAACCTGAATGAAAATGAGACTCGACCAACCTGAATGAAAACGAGACTCAGGCTTGGTGGCACAGCTAGCTATTCAGGAGGCTGAGGCAGGAGGATCGCTTGAGCCCAGGAGATAGAGCTTGCACTGAGTTAAGATGATGCCACTGTACTCTAGCCAGGGAGATGGGGAGACTGTCTCCAAAAAAAAAAAAAAAGTAGTTGAGCAGTTCCTCAGTTCTTGGATTTCTGTGCAGGCAAGTATACCTTCTTGATGTACAGTGTCTGCTCCTTCTCTTAGATCTATTTCTTTTGACAAAGTGTGACCTTTCATTGCTGTGCTGTAGGTGTGAACAAGTCACGTTGAAGTCCTGGAAATAGCTCTGCGTAGCACAGGTTTGTCTAAAGAAGGCCTTTTGACAGTGGAAGAATTCCTGAATTCTGTGCTGATGCCTAATTTGATTATGTCTTAACTCTGTTTACTAAGTGTGTTTGGTGTTTAGAAGGTGACATTTAACTTTTCTTAGAAGAGATAAGGAAATACGTATTTTGGGAATTAGTAAGCTTTGTAAACACTTTCAAAGTTTATAACTTGGGCTTACTTGTAAAAACAGGAGTACATAGATTTTTAAAAATTTGAATTATTTTTTCGTGTTCATTGTTCTGAGGAATACCTAAAATTTAGGTTTTAGAGACTTGAACTATAGAAGGGAAGTGTTGCATAAATTTTTTTAAAAAAAGCAAAATACACAGGATATATTGACCAAGCTCCTATAGAACACAGTTTGATTCTGTTTCATTATAGTATTTTTTCTTCATGAGTTATCTCAAATGTTATCCATCACCTTAGGAAAATGCAGTTCTGAACTGAACTGTGTTAGGATTTTACAAGCTTGTCTATAGAAAGGAAACAAAACATTTGTTTATTAATACATAGATGGTAAGCTTCATAAAACAGGGTGGTGTCTCTGTTGCTCAGCATCATATTCTCAGCACCTGAAATCATGCTTGGCACATACTGGGTGCTCAATAAATCTCTGTTGAATCAATGAATTTAAACTTAAATAATTTTAAATATATGTAGAGGGACACCTACTGGTGTAATGTGAGACTGCTATTTAGTACCGTTGTATGAGGTGACTATTCTGAAGGTGTTTATCTAGAGGGACAGTAATTCTATAGTTATATGTTGGTCTAGTATTCAAAGGAAAGCAAATACATTTCTGTTCTTTATTTGGGATTATAAAATCCCCTATTAAAGTAAATATGCAACAAGGAGTTTAAGCATCAGCATTCTTGGAACATCAATAAGCTGGTGTGCATGCTGAAGCAAATGTGATGATGCTTGTGAAGGCTCTCACTCCTGTGATCTGAAGAACAGCTGAAAACAAGGAGGTGTTTGTTAAGGATATGTGTGGTCTTTAGATAGGTGAGGGCTGTCCTGGACAGAGGAACTATGTAACAATTTGTTCAATTTCTTCAAATCCGGTGGTAGAAACAAGAACAGCAGGTGCAAACTATGATCATCTCAGGCAAACCATGATGTGTATAGTTTTCTTATGAGGAAGGTATTGAGGGGAAAGACCTGCTTGTTAATATCTGCCATAGGATACAAGTAGAGCCAACTGAATATAAATTCAAGGGAAAACTATTTTTGCTCAGGATTACTAGAAATACCTTTCAAGAGTTAGTATATTGACCAAAGGTGGACTGAATTCTTTTAGATCTTCTGAGTTTCTTGTCATTAGAGATATTTAAGTAAAGGCTGAAAGATCAGTCATTAGTGGGGATGTTATAGTGAGAATTCAAGCATTGGATGGATTTTTACCTTAGGTAAGTTTTAACAATGTCTTTTAAGCCCCCAGATTTATTTGGACATAGTCTTTGTTTAGCAATAGCAGGAGAAAGTAGAAATCAGTGCAAAAACTATGGTAGGATGAGGAGGATGGATTACTGTTTTTTTTTATATAAGTTTTTACAGATGTAGGTATAATTCCTTGATGTGCATGTCATATAAGTATATGGTATGTGTTTATGTTTGTATGTGTATGTGGTAATTTGCAGTTGAGTCTAGATTAGTGGTTTGGCTAATAGTAGGATGTCTAAGTACCAGGAGAGTAGAGGAAGATCATTAATGTATAATTTATTTATAAAAAGGATAAAGAAGT